TGGGAAACTAAAATTAAGATTGCGCATGGCATTTGTCGTGGTATTTTATACCTTAATTCCGTTGGCATTTTTCATCACGATTTACGATGCAGAAACGTTATGGTAAAATACATTTGACATAAATTTATATTTTGCATTCAAAATATTAACTTCTAACTATGTTTTAAATTCAATATATTTTATAGATAACTAGTTTTATGGAACCAAAGCTAGCAAATTTCCATTTTGCAAGAATGATGACAGATCCCTCTATAAATATTTCAAATATCTTGGAGGTTATTAATTGGATGGCTCCCGAGAAAATGAGGGAGTACGCACCAAATTCGGTCAAAATCCCGTATACTCAAAAATGTGAAATTTTCAGGTAATAAATGATTTTGATTCATATATTTTTTCTAAAAAAAAATTTTTTATAAAGTTAATCATTACTATTAATTCTATTGATATAGTTTCGGGATGTTGCTTTGGGAATTTGCATATGGGAGGACTCCATATGAAAACAAGGACATGGATAGTATAATAAAACATGTGATGAATGGACAAAGAGAGGAGTGTTCGTATATTCATGATCCTAAAAATGATCAAGCCATAAAAGAGTACATAAAGATAGTTAGGAGAGGTAATTTTCTAACCGATTCATTACATTATTAGAATTTAAACTGCAAAATTTAACATCCATTGATTTAAATAAAGCATGGGAGCATATTGAAGAGGAAAGAATTACGATTGGTGAATTATATCTGGAGCTTACAGGTTTATTAAAAAAAGGTATTCCAAACAGATTTACTCCCACTGAATCATCGTCATGTCCCGAAACATCTACCATGGCTATTAAAGGTCAGATGACAGAATTAAAATTAGATGATGACATTTTTAGTGAAAAAATTTTACCACTTGAAGAAGGAATAAGGCTTCACAGAACTGGTATTTGGGAAAATAAAAAGTTAGCTTTTGGATGTTTTAAAGAAAATTCAAAGCTTGGAAACGCTACTGCAATGTACTGGTATGCGCGTTACTTTCTAGATGGTCATTATACTAATGAGAACAGATCAGAAGAAAGAAAGTCACTTGATAAAGCTAAAGCTCTTAAAATTTTTAAAATGGCTGCTGATGAAGATAATGCTGACGCACAATTATTATATGCATTTACTTTACCCAACACAAAGAGGAATCGTGAGAATTTTCTTAGTTATCTTAAAAGAGCAGCTGATAATGGAAATGACATTGCAATGTATCATCTTGCTGATATATATTTAAATGGAAAACGTAATATACCATGTAATAAACAACTCGGATTAAGGTACTTGAAACTTTCTGCATTGAAAAAAAATGAACTTTCACTTCGATTGGCAAAAGCCATGAATGTAAATATCTATGATTCTAATGATGCTAATGATTCTTAGAATAGTAGTCTTTAAAAGATATTTTAGGTTGAGTTTGTTAGAGATTTAAACCGGCTAATTTAAATTTAGTTAAATTTATAATACTTTGAACCTCTCCAAACCTAACCTGTCAAATCTGATAAAAACTTAATAAACCATGTCTGTTTCTGCTGTATAAATATAATTTATTATGTTTTCAAACTTGATAACCTCCCAATACTGATACATACCTTCTACCATGTATATCAGTTTTGGAAAGTTTGACAATATTTAAAGCCACCAATTCGTTCTTAATATTTTCTAGTGGTTGCAATACAATTTGGCCATCAAATGTGTGATGCCCCTTCTATAATTGTTTCCGTTTAGGGATAAAGTAATACAGCATATTATTACAACAATAAAATATTGTACTCGGCTTTTTAGTCATAAAGTCACATAATAATAGTTATGAAATCAATCAGATTTATATAAATAAACAGTTTCGAATATATTGGTTATTCAAAATATTTGATTTACTGACATAACATACGTACATACGTGCTTATTTTATTTAAATAATTTAACCATTAATATTATTCCTTTAACTTTTCGTAGTTTAAGGTATTTAATTCATCAAATGTATTGTACATGCAACTTTAATATTATTTGATTAAATGTATTTGTGATTTTAGAATGGAAACTAACAAGGAAATTGAATTAAAGGATAACAATGATTTGGATATACCGAGATTAAATAAATATTATCGCAGTGCTTGGAGGTCGTTAGAGTTGGATAATTCAAAGCTCGATCAACGTTGTGACTTTCTTCAAAATAAATTTAAAAATGATAACTCCTTTGATAAAAATGAAAGAATGTATTTACTTACTAAGCTTGGAGAATATCAAGAAAAATTTAATTTAGTAAATAAAACAGGCAAACCTAGGCGATGTGATTATTGTCATAATTTGACTTATTCTATTCAGAATTGTGAGCAATGCATTCGCGATTATTTGAAAAAACAAAAATGGACTTCTGGTGACGAAAAAATTGACAGAGCAATTCAAGACGCTCAACAAAATGCACTCTGTTCATACCAAATTATTGAGTGGATTCCTTATGAAGATCTTGAAGATGTCGAATATTTTACTCAAGGTGGTTGTGCTACTATTTATAAAGCAGTTTGGAAAGATGGCTGGTATGATACTTGGGATAATAAAGCAAAAAAATTGTTAAGGTATGGTAAACAGCTAGTTATTTTGAAAATGCTAAATAGCTCTGATAAGGATAAGAATAACCTTGATTGGTTTGATGAGGTAAGACTAAACTCTTTCTTTTATTTACGTAATATATAATGATTATATATATTAATAAATTTATTACTGTAATAATAATATATATTTAGGCTTTACACCATTTCACAATTGATAAGATTGCTCAATATCTCGTCCCTTGTCATGGATTAACAAAAGATCCGAATACCGGCAATTTTATGCTAGTTTTAAGACATATGATGACTAATTTACGAAATTTCCTACTTGAAAATAATTCTACAATTACCTGGGAACAAAGATATGACATCCTTTATGAGATCACTTCCTGCTTAAATGAAATTCATAGAAAGGATCATGTTCATAGAGATTTACATTCTGGTAATATTTTAATTCGACAAACTTTAGTGCTTTAGATTAGTGATCTAGGATTTTGTGACCTTGTTAATAAACCATTAGATTGTGTATACGGAAATCTTCCATATATTGCACCAGAAATTTTGTGCAAAATGCCTAATACTAAAATGTCAGACATTTATAGTCTAGCAATTATTATGTGGGAAATTGCAGCAGGTGTACCACCTTATATGAATAAAAAATATGATTTTGATTTAGCATTAGCTGTCGTTAAAGGAATGCGCCCCCAAATAGATCTTAATATTCCACAAGAATATGCGATTCTAATGGAGCAATGTTGGAATGCAACTCCAGAAAATAGACCTGAAGTTTTAACGGTTTGGAAAAAAATTCGAGAACTTAGAATGAAACTTATTGAGGCTAAAAGTTATGGAATGTTAGAAGAAGAGTTTCTTGGGATACTTCCAAGTTCTACCAAATTAGTAAAGGGCAAAATTGTATCAAGAAGATGTTTTAGTAGTCTTCACACTTTGACAAATATTTCAGAGCCAAAGAATGCTTCAAGAGGTTGAGAATAAAGCATTTTCTAAATGAATATTTTATTGAAAAATTTGGTTAAACTAAGTAAAATGCTAAGAGATATACACTTTTCATCTTTTAAAGAAATGAAAATATATATATAATCTCTATTTTATCTAGTTTACCTAAATGAAATTTATGCTATTGATCCAAAAAATTGACTATTTACATTATTCTTTATTCCAAATAGTTGATAGTGCACAATTGGAATTATCAGTTCCTGATTACGGTATGTTTATTTGCAGTACTCTACCATAATGATTTTTTTTTGATTTTCTAATAATTTAAATTCCAACGAAAATATTCTACAGAAGAATCAGAGGATGAATTAGATAATGAATTAGAATCAAACTCCAGATTTCAAGTTTTTTAAAGACAAATTGATTCACAATATCCTAACGTTATTCATATTGTTCAAGCATTAAAATTTACATTGGACATGTACCACTCTTTAGTATTATAAAAAAAGTCAGTTCACTTTTTACAACAAATTCTCAAAAAGATAACGCCAAAGACATAATTAAATATTTCTTGTATTTCATGTTATACATTATTCCTCGTTCAAAATAATCTAATAAATCTCTTGAATAAGAATATTATAAAACAAATCAATTTACAGAACTCTCAATATTCAAATCACTTCAATTTATATCTATATCTCCAACTCTTTTACACTAAAGCTTTTAAAAAGATTAACTTTTAAAGAACAACTCAAGAACGACTCTTATTAGATTATTATAATTTGTTATGCAACTACATAGGTTTTTATTCTAAAGTTTAACAAATTTCTTTTTCATAATGGAATCTTATTTTACCGTTAGTCGTTCTATTAAACGTATATATTTTATCATTATCATTAATCATAAAGTAGCGTTTATCAACTTTTATCTCCTGCTTTTTGTAAAGTTCTTCAATGAAAGATTCAAGTTGATTGTAATGATCTAACGAAGGTAAATCAAAACCTTTAACATTAAAATCAATTGGATCATCAACATTTTCTACCGCAGATTTCGCATTTGTAAAACCAACTTTCTCGAGAATATGCCATGATGGGATGTTAATAGGTCTAGCCGAAGCGTAAAACTGTTTTAATACTTTTTTCTTAAAACATTGGAATCTTTTTTCGACTATTTGATGCTGTTTGCCCAATTTTTCAATTCCTTTACCTAAACCAATGTTGCGCACTTCTGTGCCCCAATCACCAACAATCTTACTTAAAACTGATTGAGCAATACCTCTATTCCAATATTCAGGTGATATCACATATGCAACTTCAGAAACACTCTCTTCATTTCCTTCCCCAGCTATAATATACCCAATAAAATGATTTTGTTCATCAAATATAGTAAGTGCACCATGTGGATGTCCTTCTTTATAGCGGGTTTCCCAAATATTTAGTCGAGCATTAATTTCATTACTTGTCCATGGCCTTTCAAGACTGAAATATTTCACAACCGCTTTGTCACTTAATAACTTTTCATAATTTTGTAGATCATCGTTTTGAATTTCCCGAGCGACCCATCTTCTGTTTTGTTTATCAGTACCGCTGAGGTTTGCAAGTAATTCTTTTGCATTATCTGAATCTTGATATTTAAATATACTCAATGCTGCCATACCGTAGGAAAAATTTGTAATTAACCTTTTATAAGAAGTTTTGTCGATAGATCTCTGATCTTTACTTTTTTTATTGTTGATGAAAAACTGTCGGCAACCAATGATTCTGGTTAAGGGTCACACTAATACACACTGAACCCTAATAATTGGGGTTTCAAAATTGAGATCTTATTTTATTTTCCAGATTTATAATTCAACATAGTAAAAATGCTATTGAAAAATCCTACTTATTTCGAAATGCGTTAATTTTGAAACCCCTAATAGTATTTTTTTGACTTATTAAGCACTATATTACGCCACAAATTCTGGTATTACTGCGCATTTGTCAAATTAAGCTAAAATTCGGACACTAAATCCGAGTATTTAGTTAAATTTTAACTACAAAATTACATACATACTAGCTCTATGCACGTGCTTCGCTACGTTAACATAATGTATAAAGCGTTGTTTTGAATTTTGGTTTGAATTATACCTAATTTAATTCAGAATTTAGAATTTTATTTTGCTCATTATTTTGCGTTATGTATTTCATGCTTCGTATATACGTATTAATAGTTTAATTTGGTTTCTGTTGTTTTATATTAGGATAAGTTTATTAATGTTTTTTAATTTATTTTTATTTTAATAAAGGAATTGATTGCCTTTTGGTAATATAGAGGGTTAAAATTATATTATGTTATTATTGAAATAAGTAATTATTAAAAATTATTATAATTATTATTAATTATTATTAATTATTATTATTATTATTATTATTATTATTATTATTATTATTATTATTATTATTATTATTATTATTA